CTGATTTGGGATAATACATACATATTATTACTAAACTGCACTTTATATATAATCGCTCTCTCTGATTAAAAATTCGTTATCCTGAGTTTGGCATCTCAATTAAGACTTATCGCGAATAACAATTTCGTCATAGAAAATGATACAAAAAGAACACATTTTGTTTTTCTTAAATCAAACGATTCTTCAAATTAAATTCAGTTATTTCATGTAGAGTTTGTATTTTTTTTTTTTAATTACACATACAACTTTTCAAATTTGTATGGATATATGTTACACGACACCATGTTATATGGGAGACTGAAATAAAAATGAACGTCATATTTCTAGTTGCAAAATTCATTTATTTTGCTCTACGAATGCAGTCAAAATTCAGAGAGAACAGAATTTATTGATTCATTCTGTACAACGCATATCCTTCGGGACTTGTATTATCCAGTAAACACATATAGGGATCTATCAATAGCACGATTGATGTGTGTGTCGCGATTCATATAACTAAAAAGTCAAACCAAACTATATACCACTCGTATTTTTACTAATCTAATGTACACACATTGATATCGGCGAGAACACCGTGAAGAATAAAAATGATAACTATAGTATTTTCCCTCGGAGAAAGAACGTAAAGTGATTCGTGAAAAGTATAGAGATAAAGGAAAGAAAGGAAAATGTGTGATGGGCTCGTAGGAACAATCGAGGAGTGGAAATCCAATATCGGTTGAATGTCAAAATACAAGGATATTCTTGTGAGTTACGGAAAAAGATTTTACGTGATACATTGTCTTTAAGAGCTATTATTACTTTAATGTTTTAAGATACATAAATACAAATTACAAAAAAATCAAGTTTTTTTTTACAATGAAATACATCTTTGAAATGTTAGCTACTATATGTATAGATGCAAATTTAAAAAGTTCCTCAACTTTAGATTTAGAACACGATCAGTAATTAAAATTATTAATTTTTCTAAATATATGTATATATATATATATTATGTTATATTATTTAACGAAATGTTTATAATGTCAATAATGTTCAGATCAATGATAAATAAATCTTATGAAGAAAAACTTTTAATTTAAAAATGTAGTTGATATTTGACTTCCACTCTTCTCCCCGCGGGGATGTCTATCCTTAGAAGTTAAAAAGTACCGATGAAGTCCTTACATCTCTCCTACAATTACATTGATGCATTAGAGATAATATAGCCAATGAATTACAAACAATATCGCTAATGAATATGATGAGGTTACTCTTGTTAATAGTCCTACGTTAGATTTCCTGTTCCGTCGTCTTGTTTGTAATTTTAACATTCTGAAAAGACGGCAGTCTCCTATGGATTACGATCGTAAAGGCGCGATGTTACAAGATTCTCGTTTCTATTTTTTGTCATAATTAATAAATCTATTGCTAGTCGCGAAATTACGCAGCCGCATTACATGTCCTAGAATGAAACATAATATGAATCTTAATGATAATACAGATTGATATGAATTTTAATCGAACCATTTTTGTAGTAATAAATAACGAGGCAGTGTTGAATCGGATTTTGGTCGTACATAGTCTTTTACATGAATTAAAATACATATTACATTGTAACATGTTTGGGCCTTCTCATTGTTTTAAAAAATTACCATTGAATTATGATGATAAATAATATAACAATTACATCATAATGAAAGACATTACAGAATATTTATCGAAAATGTATTTATCGAAAATGTAATTTTATTAAATTTAATTTAAAAAGATTGTGTGAGCTTGTTTTCCATCATTTTATTAAATTTTATACAACTCAGGCCTAAACATAATAGTAATAATCTCTGAAGTCTTGGAAGTTAAAACATCATAATCAATAAATCGAGTCTTAACACCTTCCTCATTCCGTATTCGTATTCAGTATTCGGAATTCAATGAATCAGTTCGACTGTCGTTGGAGTTGACATGTTCAATGCTGTACAGACTTTGATAAAATTGTTGGTGGAAACTAGTTAGAGACCCTTAGAGAAATTCAATTTAACACTGGCCAATATAATTGGAAATTACTTATTTTGAGTATTAAAAACATTGTTATTCAGTACTTTTAATACTCAAATTAAGTAATCGTTATCTTCCAGTATTAAATTTTTATAAGGGAAGTGTACATTGTAAATCAAATGTAATTAAATGCTATTCTTTTTCAATTGGCAGCATATACGAATATCTAAATAGATTCTATGCGTAAGTTGATAAAATGATCATCGGCGTTGAAGATGTTAAAAGATTACACGACGTGATCGAGAATTGAGCGTAATTTGTACTCAAGCGTGCGATCAAGATGTGCGCTTCGGACCTCTTGACTATTGACGCAAAACAGTAGTATGAATGATATGGAGGTGATGATTCAGGCGATGTCGTGAAAGTCAGCCAAGAAGGGCTTCAAGCATATCGTCATCTCACCCTTAAGTCAAGTTAAGTGTCGTAAAACGTGGCAGTTTATTGGCTTTCGTAGTGTGCAATATCAATAATCAGTCAATAGGAAAAATTTGTAAACTTTCTGTATTTTCCTGTGTTTTTTCCCATATTATTTGATTTCTCAATCTGCGTGATCATAGAACATAATACTTGCCACTTTCGTACATAAATTTAAAAATTGTTGTTAAAACATGTACACGTTCGATGGAATGGATAAGTGAACTCGAGTCTCTCATCTCTGCCATCGTACATGTACATATAAAAAAATGATTCTGACTATCAGTGCCTCGATGATCGTGGCAGAAAGTTCACTTTTATCTTGACTACTTCGAGACAATGATATAATGATGAGAATAATACAATCTGTCGCAAGTATCGAACCGTCCACATTTCTTTGAGAAGACGACTTATAAATAAAATATGCGAGGTCTGTCAAGAGTATACATCATAAAATATCAAATCGTACTTGTTCTCATCCTGATTCTCTGTGTTCGCTCCTGTTACACGCGCACTAGCGTAGACGTACGAGACACGTCGCGTTTCTTTCGTCTCATCGCGTCTTCCTAGCATAGTCGGCGAACGTAATGTAAAACAAACAACGCGAAATTGTCTATCGATCTATAGACGTCTCCACCACTTCTAACTTCTGACTGACTTCGACTAGACGTGGGTACGCAAAATCCAAATAAAAATAATAATCGCAACGGAATATCACCCGACGGAAATGATCGCTTTCGCGATTGATAACAACGAATTGTTTCGAGCAACCTATGTCTATTAATATTAAATCACAGTCAATTTAACAGGAATGGACATAACGAATAGTAAAAAAGTAATAGTAATCGATTCTCTGCCGAAACCGCGACCCCACTTTAACCGCTATCATTATTATTTTCTAGTATTGTTTCCATACGCGTTTTAAAACCATGTTGAGCATCACAAAAATAAGCTGTAATTTACGCATAATACATCCACATTATCGCTCTGCACATCTAAATGGATAAAACTTATATAGTTTGATATATGTGTATGTGTGTATATATATATATATATATATATATATATATATATATATAATAAAG